AGATCAGCCTCTAGTGGGGATGGCTGTGCTGCAATCCCTTCTCCGTCCCCCTCTCAGGATTTTGGGCACAGGCACCGGCACCTGCTGTAATCTTCAAGCTGCTGGGCTGGGATTTGAGCTGTGAAGTTGGCCATGTGGGATCCAGCTTCCTTAACCTCCACGCCACCTGATGGCCCTCGAGGTGCTCTTTAAGAAACCAACAGCTCCTGACTCTCATCCTGCCATCTCTTTCTATTTTTGACAATGTCATTTCTGGTTTTTATTTTTTTAATCAATGTCATTTCTGGGACCTAAGGGAAAATCTATTTGGGCTTCTGGGAGAGCTTTATTGCAGGCAAAGCTGCTCCCTCGGTTAAAGCCCAACCCACCACCCCTTTCTTTCTGTCACTGAACACGTTCTCAGAGGACGTGCATCTAGGCAGCCATCTTGTCAAAAGAACCACCGAGACGTTGTCATTCTGAGCTGCTGGAACATCCTGGCACCACCGATGTTGTGTGAGAAAACTAATTCCCCTACTTGTGAAGCCCCCTCTGCTGTGACATGATACCCTTGGCTAGAAGCATTCTAACGGATGGGGCACATGCTTTTACTTGCTGATGAGGAAGCTGAGGTGTAGACAGGTCAGGAAACTTGCTAAACTACCCATGGTTGTGGTAAAGCATGATTCTGGGTTCTAACCTGGGCCTGAGGCCAGAGGCGCAAAGCCCTAGAAAACTCTCACGTGACAAAAATGCCTCCTGGCTGTGACTGACACTCCTTTCAAAACCCTGCCCTACTGAAGGCTAGGTATATTCTCTTTTCCTTTATTATGTATAAACAATTTTACTGAGAATCACCTGGTATAAAAGAAGCTGCTAAACTGCACACATGTGAGATGTATCCTTCCACGAGGTCTAGAGACACGCAACCGCAAGACACTGCACAAAAGGCTGTGGACCACGCCCGTCACCCCAGCGTCTCCTTGAGAGGCTTCATTTACAGGTAAAACCTGATCTGTATGTGCATGTGTGTGTGGTCTCCAAAGTTGAAAAATGGAAATAAAAATCCATTAGAGGAAAAGCAGAATCTAGTCTGTAAAACCCTTTATAGAAAAATGCTACAGAGCCAGCTAGCTAGTGGCACGGTGGCCAGTGTGGCTGGATCCCACATGGCCAGCTGTGGGATTTGAGTCCTAGACATGGCAGCTTGAAGACATACCAGGCGTGTGGGCTGCATGCCCAAAATTCCAGGAAGAGAATGAAGAAGAAGGGACCAAAGCATGGCCATCGTGCTGGGAGTGCTTCCTCAGTTTCTCTCTCTCTCTGTCTCTCTCTCCAGTGAGTGCACATGCCCTATAGCAAATTAGGAAAGAAAAAAAAAAAGACTACAAATCACCACTATTCCAGGAAAAGAATTCTTGATTTTTTCCTATATGGACACATTCATATTCACATAAACGTACACGCATATTAAAAAAAATACCCATAAGCTCTCCAATAGCCTAAGACAGTATTTTAGGAAATTATATATAAAAAAAAAGAAAATCAATATTACAAAAAAATACCCATAAGCTCTCCAATAGCCTAAGACAGTATTTTAGGAAATTATAAAAAAAAAAAAAAAGAAAATCAATATTACCCGTCAAGTACGCTCTGGCATGTGCAACCCAAACTGCTAAGGGCATCTGAATAAGAAACCACTGGTGTCTATTACAAAAAGCTTTTACCAGAACTTGCTTTGACAATTTATTCCCAAATCTTTTTTCTACTCAGCTCAATACAATATTGGTACTCGACTTTCATGATGGCACAAAACTGCCTTAGACACTATTAGAGGAAGAAGTATTTAGAGTTCAAGAAAATGCAAATGATGTTTTTGCTGCCTTTTTTCCAAAGAGGTTGCATTGGCGTCCAGGCCACAGCATGCCACGGCAGTACGGGACGTGGTCTCTGCAGTGATACACACCTCAGTGCCTCTTAGGGCAGCCTTGTGAAAGATCCTTGTATTATTCAACCTTCCACTTGTGTTTGCCCTCTGCCAGCAGCTGACAGTCTCATAACGCTAAAAACCACAAGACAGGATGAGAGGTGGTTTGCTAGTTCCATAAAAGTTACTAGATTTCTCACATGTTCCCCCACCCTGTTCTCCCCAACCTCAGGAGAAACTCAGTTAAAGGTGAGAGACAACTCATTTTACTGTAAAGAGGAAATGCCATTAGATGACAGTCTCCCTACCCCCATTCACAAACGTAAGCCTTCACAATCCAATTCCAGATCACTTTAAATAACCTGTGTCCTTTATCAGCCCCTTGGCATTTTATTTTTTCCAATTACAGTGATTAATTGGAAGGGGTCACTCTCTCGTGCATTTTTCCAATTACAGTGATTAATTGGAAGGGGGAGCATTAGGTCACTCTCTCGTGCGGTGAGAGTCGGGGTTTCTTCTGCACCTGGGGTGAGAACAGGAGCGACGCGCTGTCCACATAAAGTCCCGTGGTGGGCAGAACCGGGTCCTCGACTCGTGGCTCAGTTCGATCTCTACATCTCCTTCTGGGACCACCTCCTCCTAGGCAGGCTTCACCACTTTGAAGCGGTACAATCAGGAAAGGGGTTTGGCTCTGCAGGATGAAACCTCAGGGCCTTGGCTAACACTGGGTTCTTGCCCAGGAAAGGTGGTCACAGGTGCTGACTACTGCAGCGTTGCCACGGCTGCTCCGCAGCGACCCCTCACCTGGTGCACAGCTGACAGCTGCATGGCCCGCAACCCCTATACTTCCTTCCCCACCTGTGAGCAGGGTGACCTTTGTCACCTGACCCCATCTTTCTGAGCACTTAGGATGCAATGAGCACTCAAAACCATGCACTTGTAATCCTGAGGTCCCTTACCGTTTCTCACAATCTAAGGCACTTCTTTCTTCTTTTAATATCACTTTTTTTTAAAGATAAAGGAATCACGGGAACGCACTGGTAATGACCTATTACCGGAACAACACACCTGTTTGCAGAAATACTCCCTCTTTTCTGAACCTCTGGCCAATGTTGAATACTGCTGTTTGGTTACTTTAGAAATGGGGTGAATTTCATATGAGTTCTTTTTCTTAAAATATTCTGGAGGGGTTTTGATTCATTACTTGCTAGGCTTTTAGAGGAACAGATTTATAGTATCTTTTATTTGTGTTACTTTTAATTATCTTCTGAGCATCCCCAAACCACTGTGCCAGGCTCTAGGGCATTCTGCACATAAAAACACAGCAGACAGGGCCAGCAGGTGGTGCAGCAGTTGAGATGCTGGACTCCCATGTGGCAGACTGTGGTTCGAGTCTTAGACAAGCGCCTTCAAACTCACACCGGGTGCATGTATACGTGTGTCCAAAATCCTGAAAGGAGAATTTAGGAGAAGGGATTGTGGTGTGGCCATACCCCCTGGGAGGTGAGTTTTCATTTTCTCTCTCCCTGTCTCTCTCTGTTTCAAGAGTGACTGCAGGTGCCCTAAGGCAAAAATCTCTTAAAAAAAAAAAAAAATCCCTTGACAGAGAGGCTCCTTCAGAGCACGGTGATTCGGTTATTCCCATCTGTACCCCAGATGCCCCCGACTGTGGAGTCAAAGCCCTCTCTGGACCCTGACCACATGCCCAGCCTCCACAAGGGCCTTATTAGTCTTGTCCCTCGCTGAGCTCCCCTCTTGACCTCTTCCACGCATGCCTGTTACAAAATACCAAAACAACAATGCAGAAAAGCACTAACAGAGCATTCTAGTTCTGGAAAAGTTTAATTTTCTTGTGCCACATGACAGGAGTGATGGCGTGTCACCAGTCTACGGTATAATTAACTCTTGTCTTTTGTTCTTTATCAATTTACATAACCAATTATCTTTCTATTTAATTTCTCATGGTTTTGCTATGTTGACTAAAACTTTTTAACAAGAAAGGCTTTTAATTTACTGGACTTTGCAGTTCATTTGTAACCAGTCAGTTTTAAAGTTGTTTTAGGATGACGGAACTCTCTTGCATAACTCTGCTACATTCCCCTGGCAGGATTCGGGCGGCCTAGGTTACCTGTGTACCAAGTCAACTGATGAGAAAGACCACACGGATGAAATCACAGTGGTCAGGCACTGCCTAGAAGAGGCGGCATGGCAGAGCACTGTGAGACCAGGCCGACTGCAAATAACTCATGCCATTCTGTCAGGAGATACTGTGCTGGTGCGTTTGACCAAAGTTGGTGCGAATTTAGAGAATGTGGCCAAAAGCACTCTTTTTGAAGAGAATTTCTGCTTTGTTCCTTTTGAGATGTCTTCCTCAATTCCCACTTCTTCTGTCGAAGCAGGTGCAGTAAGGAGCCTTATAAACGGAGGGGCACTGGATTGCTCAAGAACATCCATCTGCAGAGTTGCTGCAGCACCAGAGCGTGAATGCAAACAAGCCCCAAACGTGCCACCCAGTGACTTCCACAGGCAGCATTCTAGGGCCTGGGTTTGAGTCTCTGGGGTGAGACTTTCAAAAATGAAATTTATGTGCAAAGGCAAACTCAAGTTCTGACTTGTCCCTGTCATCAGAAACAGCACAAGTACCAGAATCTGACAGCAAATGCTGGCTCCCTGGCTCCTTGTAAGTCAGTCTCCAGGCCCTGGGAATCGGGGAGGCAGCTACTTATTAGGAAAAAATGGAGTTGGACTTTGTTTGCCTCATCATTTTGGGAGTCATGACCGCTATTTAATATATATAGATGCAGTTTGTTTAAGGAATTGTCAAAGATCTCACTTGGATACCAAGTTAGGATTCAGGTCGATAGGTAGACATTGATCTTTGCTACCAGAAAACAATCTATTCAAAAGCAGAATTAAAAAACACCATTAGGAGAATTTATTAAAATATCTTTGCAGAGATAGCCAAATGTTATTAAAAAAAATGACGTCCAGGCTCCTTCTTTCCTTTTTAGAAAAGGCAATTCTATATTAAATATCATTTAGAATAGGATCCAGCTCTCTGATTTATGGAAAGGAACATAAATTCACAAACGTGTTTGGTCTACGTTTATATTTCAATAAGACATTGTACTCAGCTGCTTTCTCTGGCAAATTAAAAATAATGGAAGTGAAAAGTGAACAGATCATAAAGGGCGATTATTTTTCCTTTAGCAAATCCATTAGATCGTTGTCTATTCCTTTCTCGCTCAGCTCGTCTAAACTGTAGTATCGATGAACAATTTCCTCAGCAGTGACCACCACGACGCGGAGCCCATGGGTGTCTTCGCCCAACTGACATCCGATGGCAGACGACACCACCATGTCGAGGTTCTGGTAGACGCCCCCAGCATTCCTGTGGTAGTGGCCGGAAAACACAGCCTTGATACCTGCAGGCAAGGAGAAGGACATTAGGGGCCGTGGATCCCATTTAGGTGAGCTGGGGCTCCGATGTTTTACTCTGAACAACAGGACATTGTCACATGGAATGCACACTACTGTTCTGTGCACCATAACTAAGAGGGCAGCACGTGGAGCACCCAGAATTTTCTCTAGGATAACTCATAACTCAATACATTATTTTAAAAGCATTTATCATAACTTATGATTTACATATAATTGTTTCGCATCTTTGTAGCATACAGAATGTTCCTTAAAAGCATGTATACAGTGGAAAATAAACAGATCGAGGATATAAACATATTCACCACCTTCAACATGTAACATTACGTTGTAAACATTCAACACCCACTCCACTGGTTATTCTGTCAGCATGTACGGAAATGTCTAGGATGTTCTTTACTGTGAAATACGGTTCTAAAAACCACAAGTTGATTAAAAATCAAACAACTAAAAAAAACCTCATAATTTAACAAGGATAGATTTAAAAAAAATAATAATCTTAACATAGCTGGTGACAGAATTTGAAATTTCCACATAGAGGACTGTGGGGAGTAAGAGTTTATATTATGAAAACATCTATGGTATAATTAATTGGTCCAATTAGAGATAGGGAAAATTCTACATAACAATGGCTCATTAGGAAGAGAAAAAGAAAACTTTTACTCACTGTGAGTTCTTGTAAGACCATAGTACTGTACTGTACATAAAGAAATAGGTCCTCAAAAAGCAAAAACAACAACAAAAAAAATTGAAGAGGTATCTAAAAGCGAAGACTTGGTAAAGTCAGTGGTATGATGATTTAAAGACTTTACAAATTTCTTCATTTTAGCCTTCTTTAAATTCATTGCAAAGAAAGACTCAGCTACTTGTAATGTTTTGGACTTTCCCTCTGTTACCTAGTTTTATACAATGAGTAATGGTTATAATAAATATATAAATTGAAACCTGTGGAGGCAACTGTCTATGGAATAATTGGTGAATTTCTACTTGAATCTGCTTGTGTGTAAGATATAGTTGAGCCTTCATTTTTAGCTTTTTTGTTGGGCAATTTAATCCTAACAGTCAATGTTATTATCGATATGTGTGGACTTAGCCTTTTCTCCTAGTTGTTTTGTGCTCTTTCTTCTATTTATCTCCTTTTAGTTTTCCTGGTGTATATTCCCATAAGTATTTTTCCAAGAGCCGGGTTAGTTCTTGTGAATTCTTTCACCATTTGCTTATCTGGGAATGATTTTGTTTCTCTTTCCCATTTGAAGGGAAATCTTGCTGGGTATAGTACTCCTAGCAGAAACTATTTTCCTTTCAGCATTTTAAACATGTCTTCCCATTCTTTCCTTGCCTGCATCATTTGAGGTTCGATGTTAGTATAATAGGTTAATCTTTGTAAGTAACTTGGCGCTTCTCTTTGCCATTTTTAGAATATTGCCTTTGCCAGTCTCTCCACCTTCTACACGACCTATTATACAGATATTCAGCCTTTTAATGACATCTAGGATTTCCCATATGTTGTCCTGAATTTTATTCTTTTTGGTTGCTTGGACTAAATTGGAGGTTTTGTCTTCAAGGTCAGAGATTCTTTCTTTTGCATGGTCTGAACTGCTGTTGATACTTTCAAGGGAGGTTTTCCTTTCCTTCATCATATTCTTTATCTCCAGAAGTTTAGTTTTATTCTTTTTCAGTGTCTGTGTCTTTATGGAGTTCTTCCTTCAAGTCATGGAAGGATTTATTCATCAACAAGAGTTGGTTGTCATTTTTCTCTGTATCTCATTGGGTTTTGTTACAATGAATATTCTGAAATCTTTTTCATTTCTGTAATCTCTGTGTTTTACCCGTTGTTGGTGAGGAGTTATGATGTCCCCTTGTGGGGGAGGCATTTCCTAGTTTTTCTCCTGTTTCTTGGGGCTCTGCTTTAATTTTCAGTCATCTGGTGATGTACTCACTTCTTCCTACTTCTGTGGAGTGTGTTTCTGTAAGTGTGTGCTCATGCCCTTCCCTATGGTGTGCATTAGCTCTGTGCCGGTTTCCCTCCTCTATTGTGAATGGGAGTGTGGAACTCACAGTAGGAGTTTGGGGTTCAGGTTTTCAGACGAGTGTTTATCTCCTTTTACGACTAGGGGGCTGTGGGGAGAGAATTCCTCCAGAGTCTCCTGTCTTCAGGGGTTTGGTTCTTGCATACTCAAACCTTTCTGCTCTCATTGTGGCTGGAGGTTGAGCTGGATAGGCAGAATGTAAGGTGGGAGACTGCTTGTGCACATCCAGGCTGAAGCAGCCTCTCCTTCCCTAGAGCAGGCTGGGTGGGGGTCCCTGATAAGATCAAGTCAAGTGGTTTAGGCCTCCCTGTTGCTCCTGGATGGGTGAGGGGCAAAGAACTCATAGGATAGATTAAAAGGCATCAACAGATGGTTAAGAGGAGCTGGAACAGGGGAAAGAGAAAATAACAGTAATAATTTGGAGCAATAATAACTAGGAATTTCCCAGAAAGGAGGAATACAGATTGAAAGTACTAAGTAAGAAAAATAAATTTATACTGATATATAATATAGTAAATTTATTT